AATCTGAATTAGGAGAAACAAAAGAAAATGTAAAAAATGTAAAAAATAAATTAGGACAAGCAAGACATCGTAGATGCGACTAACAGATCTTAATACTCAAAGCAAAATGTCAATTAAAAAATTGATAAAAAACAGTATAAGCAGTTATAATGATAAAAAAAAACAGTCAAATGTTATCAAACTATCTGTGGCATAATGATAGTTTCAATGGGGTGTTTCTTTCCATAGTAATGCCTTTGTTATTACTATTTTTTAAATTATGTGTATATGCCACTTACAGTAAACACATTTTAGTGAAAGCAGGATGATATCATCAACTGTCTTGTTATATTGTCCAAGCCCCAAATTTATAACCTATGTCAGCACAATTTGAAATCTCCTCTCTTTCATTACAAGAATAACAGTGTTTTCCCTGCCTACATCTCAAGATGACTGGAGATACAAACAGGTTCATGAATTTATGGACTTCAGCATATTTGCAAATTGAAATTATATAAATGCCATTGTTAGATGCCTTTCTATGGGAGTTCATAGGAGGTGTGCACATGTTAATACAGACTAATCTGTCAAGTGCAGAATGGACAAAAATAAGGTATTTAAGACCGCTTATAACTGATAATGTCCACAGCTATGACTTCAGGGATCTCAGCTCTGTCATAGCTGCTAAAAGTTATTTTATAAAGCACTTTGCAAATACAAAGTGTTCCATCATTGAAAGCATTAAGGCACATCAAAGGTGATGTTTAGGGAAGAAAGAGCATGCGTCTTTGGCTGGAGTGGACTAGCGTGTTCTTGGAACTGGCTTATTTCAAATAGCACACACCTGTTGCAACTGCCCTGACATTTATGCAAAGCATAAAACAAAACTTAAGCTATCTTAATCTCTTCTATGCCCAGCCATAGCTAAGTTCCCCAAATGTCTCTCATATCTACCTACCCTCTATGTGACTGTAATCACGGAATAAGGCAGCAGATGTAAGATCACACGGATACTTGAAAAGTGAGGTCCAGAATCGGAGTTGCAGCGTCTACAGAGAGGCAGGAAGGAGGGCCACACCCACTTCATGCTGGGATGATGGGTGGAGAGGACCATTTCCTCATGGGGTTGTTTTGGATCAGATAAATTGTTTCTCATGAAGGAGCATTTTCCAAATGCAGATCCTTACCTATTTCCTTTCTACCTTCTTGATCATGCCATAAATCTGGGGACAACATGCTGCTGTTCAGTTTCCATTCAAGAACAATCTCTTCTCTTTTGGATTTTATACTCTATGACCCTCAGTGTCCTGGGGACCAAAGTAATATGTGATATATCCTGGCTTCTGATGTTATAGTCTTTTTGACTTAATAATACAGTGAGGGAAGCATAAAGAAAATGAAGATGACACTTAAACTCTAAGCTCAGAGCATCTGTTATTCATTCTATCTACTTCCTTCTTTTCCCCCTTTGTATTTCTTCACTAAGTACCCACCAGACTTGCACAGGCAGAAACAGCAAATCTTTGCAAGATTGGAAGAGACCATAGGAGCCATAAGAAATAATGGAGTGAAATCAAGATATAGATGTTAAGTTGAAAACTCCAGAATAAATGGGGAAGACTGAAATAGGATGCCTCCAGAAGAAGACAATCTAGACTCTCATCTTGGAAAGAAGTCATTTTGACGCAGGTCATAGGAATTAGAGGAATCCATTTTAAGCAGAGCTGGCTGGTCTCCTTTTTCATTATGTACTAATTTTATTGAATATATGGTTCTTTTTTTTTTTTTAAAGAGTATCACGACTCTAGAAATGATACACACGTTTAGGTGTCATTGTTCAGGTTAAATGCTGTCCCTGGGAGTTGATATGTAAATTCTTCAGCGCTCACAAGAAACATTGTAACGGGATATAGTGGTGTTACGGTTAGTAGCGCCATCAAGAAGAATGCTCCGGCGATTCCTGGAACTAAACAGCTGGAAGGTTGGGGAAGCAGGAAATACACTCATTTCATTTTTATAAATAATTTAAGCCCACTTTACTGAAATCCATTTATGTCTTCCCTAGATATGCCATCTACACATTTATAGAATTAGGTCATTGTTTTTTTCTTGATGATTCAGTTTCCTAATTCGATGACACACTGTTGCATCTTTCAAATTCGTTTCATTAAATAATTGTATCTAATTTAATGCCTTTTGAGTTTGCTACTAGCCCAAGCACTGGGAAAAGCAAAATAGAGGCATAAATGTAATAATCTGTAATAAAGGGAAAAATATTTATCTTGACAAAAGTATATTAATATAGTTGGAATTTAATAAATTGGTGACAGAATAAGAATGATTATGGGCTTAAAGTTATATTAACTTTGACTTTATAAGGTTTATAATTGTGTAACTGGTAAAGACCCTTCGATTAAGAAGAAAACTCCTTGGGGAAGAAAGAAGGGGCTACTGTTAATATTGACTTCTTGCATTTTCAAGCTTGTAATGGCGCCTTATGTGGTACTCAGCGTAGTTCTACATCCCTATCACGTCCCGGAGGGAATCAGGGATAGTGGTAAGGGGAAAGAGCTACAGACCAGGCTACATTTTAATGTAGAGGGAAATCAAGGTGATAGTCACAAAGTCTGTATGACTCCGTACTATCTCCTGGGAGGTTAGAGACTAATTCAGGAAACGATGTTAACGTTTGGTAACATCGTTGTTAACAATGGTAACAAAATCAATGCTGTGGCAGAAGGACTTGTTTTTGAAGCAAGCACAAAGGAGGTTGCAAAGTAAGAAATGACAGAAACTGGGACTTTAGTGTAAACTTGATAAATTAGTAAGATTTATGACCCCACGGGACAAAAACAGGTAAACTGTGTAACAGGATAAAAACAGCAAATGTTTGGGATTAAGCATGGAGTAGTACGTCGGGAAGGGATTCTTTGGGAGGAAAAACAATAACCGGTGGGTCAGGTTTGCCAGTTTCTGTGGTATAAACCCTCCCTGCATGGTGACGTCTGGCTCAGAGCAGGGTGTGAGGAATGCAGAGCTGAAGAGACGCTGCCATCAGTAGCTGTGAGGAAAGCCAGCGTCCGGGAGCCCTGGCAGAACACTGCATGTGGGGAGAAAGGCGTCAGCCTGTGTCCGGGAGCCCTGGCAGACGACATTCACCGTTCAGCCAAGCCAGGGCTGTCCTGTGGCACGTGGGTAGCCACGATGAAGACTGGGCATGTTACTCCTGCTGAGTCCCTGAGGGGGTCTGGCTGAGGGAGAGAGGGGGCGAGGAAGCCATGTGTGCTGGGAAGGACCGTCAGGGAGTAGAATGCAGGATGGACGCCGAGATTCTACATGGGGAGCTCATGTGACCAACGTGAAATGGGTCTGGGTGAAGAGAAAAAGGAATGAGAACAGGGAGTGGGAACAGAGATGAGTGCAGGACGGTTCAAAAAGGAAAAGCTAGCACACAGGGAATAAGGGAACGAAGCTGCAGGAGCGCCCGTTTTCACGGAGCTCTATTATCTACTACCCAGCAGTTGTATTATTTATCATCTATTATCCAATAGTTCCCTATTGAGAGGGAACAATGGTGGGACCAGGAAGACAGCCCGCATTCAGGAGGGCCTGGTGGCAGAGTCAACAGTTAATTGGGGAGAATCGATAAGAAGAACAAGTCAATGGAATCAAGGCCTGGATGTTGAGTACACTGTCCTTTTGATAAAATGGAAAATAGTTAATAGCAGTAAAGGAAAGGAGAGAAAGAGGGAGAGAGATAATGGACTTTAGAAATATGGGGCGGGAATAAGCATTTCCAGAGGAAAAAGAGATGCTTGGAATAGAAAATATTCCCAATGGGATTTCTCCCAGGGTGGAGGAATTCCTGGAACACACTGTGCCTGAACTCCATCAACTGTGAGCTAGAACGCCTTGGGCAAGTCACATTTCTTAACTTCGGATTCCTCCGCTGCAAAAGGAATCTGCCATGGAACACCGGCTTGGGAAGGTGAGACAGGAAACCGCGGAAGCTACCAATCTGGACTAGCTACCAGCAGGGGCGACGGCAACAGGATGGTAGCACGGGAAGCAATAGAGGCCATCCTGCAAGGAGTTAGCAAAGTACCCATTATGCAGCACAGACGGAACAGGAAGCCCATGGGTGACAAGGCTTTGTCCTACGAGGTGTCAAGGCTGAGGCTGGGGATGTGTGCGGCTCTGAGCTCAGACTGGGGTCAGACGGGGCTGTGAGCCTCAACCCCACTGCCTGTGTCTGGGACACGTTGAAAATACAAATTGTGTTTCTTTATCTGTTAAACGAGTGTCTAGAGTTACTATTGCCATGGTTGCTGTGAGTGTCGGTGCGATCCCATTAAAGCGGTCAGCACGTTCTCTGGCCTCCCGGTTGGCCACACTTTTTATTTTTGAAACCGTAAGATGAGTTTTTTCTCAGAAGACTCAGAACTTAAGAGTTACAGTAAGCTCATTCCTAAAGTTATGGGAGCAGTAAAATAATGTTATGGAAAAGGCTAAAAATCACAGGGTGTGTCAGGAAAGAAATTCTAACCTCGCCCCAAATCATGTCACTGAGCACTTGGATACAGTGTTATCTCTCACAGTCACCTTGTTTCAAAGGTCTAAGAGAGTTGAAAGAGTCCTCAAAAGTGATCCTTTAATCATCAAGGCGTGTTTGTCATTTTCAAGGAGGAAAAAGATAAAAAAGGAGCTGTCAAATCAAGAAGTACATAAATGTGCCTAGTAAATCCCAGAATGCTGGGACAGCAAACGATAACATTATGCAGAAGGCCATGAACTTGAGAAACAGAAGAAAAACGCAGGTATTTAAGGAACATCATCTAAGTCTGTTATTGGGTTTGTCAAACTGGGGTCACATGGAACACAACTTCTAGGAACGGATAAGCTGGCGTGCCAAGAGCCAATGGGAGGCGAACTCTTCACTTAGTGGAAACTTTTACACCATCAGTATCAAAGCCATGTATCGATTCCGGGCTGCTAACGCCATCTGGTCGTCTGGGACTCACCCCTGCAGAACGGAGCCGGAAAGTCCCACGAAGCACCGTTCCCAGGGCTGACAATGCAGGTCAGAACCGCGTGGCCTTCCAAGACGTAGCCGGGGAGGCAGCTGTACCTGATCTTGTCCCCGATGTTGAACCTTGTTCCGTGCAGAACTCCTTTCAGGATTTCCCCCGGATTTCCACATGTGTGGCTAGGTAAAACTGTTGAAAGAAAAAAAAAAAAAACAGAAAAGTTAAAAATATTTCTATGGAGGGGCGCCTGGGTGGCTCAGTGGGTTAAGCCGCTGCCTTCGGCTCAGGTCATGATCTCAGGGTCCTGGGATCGAGTCCCGCATCGGGCTCTCTGCTTGGCAGGGAGCCTGCTTCCCTCCTTCTCTCTGCCTGCCTCTCTGTCTACTTGTGATCTCTCTCTGTCAAATAAATAAATAAAATCTTTAAAAAAAAATTTCTATGGAGACCAACTTCTACCCCAAAACACGCACTGCATTTGAATGATTCAGATTAGCAAACCCAGTACAAACACATTTTCATTTTGCCTGAAAAAACAGAGAAAATGTATTCATGTTTTAGAATATCTACCATTTAACCATGTTGAAAGATCCTTTAAAAATTAAAAATAAATGCAGTTTGAGAGGAAAAAATACAGTTCTGCTTAGATTCTGCCTTCTTGATGACCTCTAGATCATTCTCTAATTAGGAGATCCTACAGTCTCCTGGAGTTAGCAGCCGGTGACACAGTGGGGATATGGACATCTGAAAACGTGGGATCAGAAATACAGCATCAGAAACATCAGAAAGTTGGGATCAGAAATATAGCAGAAATGAATATTCATATCATGTTGGTCTTTATTCCTTTAGGACCAACACTACCAAATACACATCACTAATCAATGCTTAATAAATGTTTGTTGGACAGACGACTGAATTAAGGAATAAAGTGAAGATTTCACTTGTTAATCTAACAGACTTAAAAAAAAAAATCACACCACTATTATATTCCAACTTGGCTGTTAGGCTTCACTCATTTATAGTGTCTGGTTGACAACAAAGTTTTATCTATAATAGTTTTGACGAAGCAAGTCCGTAAGAAAGACTTGATTCTGTTCTTTCCAGACCTGCTCACTTTTTATGTGCAGACCATTCTCTGTCTAATTCAAGTGCCTTGAAACCTCATCAACAGGATGGCATTCCATACGCAGAACATAATTTTGAACTTAACTGATTCACTGTTAGGTTAAATGGATCAAGCTGATGATTGTTGGTTCCTATCTACATATTCTGGTTTAAATTTAGCATATGATCAATAAGTCAGAGCTATCATAAAGTAGTGAAATTAACCAAGGGCCTGCCATTTAAGAGAGAAATGATTTCTGGGGCCCCTGGGGGGAGCTCAGTCTGTTCGTTAAGTACCTGACTTTGGCTCTGGTCATAATCTCAGTGTCCTGGGATCGAGCCCCAGGTCTGGCTCCCTGCTCAGTGAGGAGTCTGCTTCCCCCTCTCCTTCTGCCTCTCCCCTGCTCATAAATAAAATCTTTTTGAAAAATGATTTCCAAAAAAGCATTTCCAATAAGCAAATTATTTTATGTCTGTACTTTTTTTTTAATTTTTAACAGATCTGGGGTGGATTTTGATATATGTGTATAAAGGAATGCAAAATATTGCTTACTTTGTTTGTAAACTGAGAAATAAAACTTTCCCAATGAATGGGAAGGGAATTTCAGTGATTTCTAAAATGATTTTTATTATTACAAAATTACTTAAGTAGGTACAAACTAAGCTATGTAAAAACACTTAGAGAACAAATATTACAACTTCAATATGTAATATTGACATGTTTATGAAATCAGTTTACATAGTCAAAGCGTGCTCAGTTCTAGATTTTTTAAAAAAAGTTTGTGAAACCAGTCTGCAAAGACCTGTTAGTTTGACAACACAATAGAAAAATTCACGATAATTCACAGTCTTCTTTGTCTCTTATAAAAAAGAAAGTCTGTATTTAATTCCACATCCACTATCACTAAGGCAATAAATTTGTTTTTTTTTAAAAATGTTGTTTAAAAACACTGTTCAGTCTCCAACGCTTCTAAGGTAGAAAGTTTCAGTTTTAGCTAGGAGGACCACTTCAGTCCAGGACCCAGGACATCCGCCCAGCAGCAGAGCTGGGGATCTGAGAGCCAGACAGGGAAGGTGGGGGCTGAATTTCCACCACCAATGGCAAAAAAGAGATGGGGGTGGGGGAAATATGTACATATGAATGCTTTTGGTGTTTTCCTTCCTGCTCCAAGAATATTTAGAATTCACAAATCCTTCCTTGCCTTTCTTTTTTTTTTTTAAGATTTTATTTATTTATCTGACAGAGAGCACAAGCAGGGGAGCAGTAGGCAGGGAGAAAGGGAGAGCAGGCTCCCCACTGCGCAGGGAACCCGATGGGGCCCTGGATCCCAGGATCCCAGAATCATGACCGGAGCCAAAGGCAGCCGATTAACACGCTGAACCAGGCAGTTGCCCATCTTGGTTTTTTTTTCAAAGACACCTTTATTATTTACATTAAATGGTATAAAGACTTCTTATTAGAAGGTACACAGATTCACTTTAGAATGTGTCCAGATAAATTGTTTTCCCGAAGACAAAAGTCATCAATGTTAACCTATCAAAAACCTTAAAACTGTCTACAGAGAACCACAATGTGTGATGACTTTCAGAAGTGGAAAAACTCCATAAGCTACTCTGAAAGCTAAATGTGACCGATACAACTTTTCTATCTACTTCTCTATTGAAAACAGCAAGAAATCATTTCAGTGACTAGCTTTAGTGCAGATAACGTAATTGACTTTTGTACAGAAAGACCAGAGTAACAGAAATACAATATGAGAGATTCCTTGCGATGTTGCTGCTTCATGAGCAAACGCCATTCTATGTAATACCTATTTACTACATTGAAGGAGGAGTGAAGGAGAGGTCGTACGTAAAAGTTGGCTGTGCAATCATATCGCTAGGAATGTGGAATTGCATGGACTTTGAAATGTTTAAGGAAAAAAAGGGGGGGAAAAAAAAGAAGAAAAATCATTCCTGAAAACAGGGATCTCCCAAAGTGGGCCTCTGAAAAGAAAACATCCATGTCTTAAAACTTCTAACAGAGTTGAACGCAGCATTTGGAAACAGACAACTGTGGGCATTCGGACAGAACAATAATTTTGGCCATTCTGGATTATCAAGCTAGGGCAGGACTCGGTAATACGGAGGTTCAAAGTGACTGACCGCCAGAGAAAACAGAGGAGCCTATGGAAGGTGCGTACGATGAGCATGGCAGCTCAAACAGTGTAGACGAAGTAAAGGGTCTTCTTCAGGCACAGCTGCTGACTGCCAGCGAGACGGTGGCGCTACTGATGTCAGCTATGCCCACTGGAGCCACGGGCAGAGACGGGCTTCTCTGGGTCTGGGCCACGCAGATGGGAAAGGTGATCAAACGCTAACTCTAAAAGTTTAGTGTCACTGGTTGGTAGGACGAGGTTATATTTGATTTGAGGAATGAGTATTTTATTGTCAATGAACTGGATTTTAGAAAAAATAATAAAAAATGTGAATGATGCCAGCGAGAAAGTAGAAATAACTGAGGATGAATGAAAAGATTCACTTTCGGTTATAAACAACAAAATGTCAAAAGTGGGCACATTATAAAAGCATTATCAATTCAATTAACCATGATCAGAATACCCTAAATTGTGAAAAATGGATGAAAATAATTGTGGGTCTACGTGAAGATTTAAGGCAACGGCATGTAAAACTTGCCAACACACAAAAATCCAGGGGCTGGGAAAGACTACTTTAACATAAACTCCATCCAAATGGCATTTCTGCCAATTTCATTTTAACTAATTTTTTACCCAGTTCCCCTGAAGATAGTGAATGTCCCTTTGTGTCTTCCATGGTAATGAGTGCACATTAAGTATTTAGTAAATACTTATTGAATTGACTGGAACTCTAATTTTAATTCCCTTAAATCCTTTCTTGAAGTAATTTGCACTCTTTCCCATGGACGCTTCAAGAAAGAAATTTTTATTTGGGTAATGGGAATTCAGCACCCAGCACATACATTTGGTAATGGGAAAGCATTTCTTGAAAGGAGCTCTGGGCACAGTTCCTCCTTCTCAAGGCAGGTCTCATTCCATCGGACCGCACGAAGCCAAGTCTGAACACCCAGGGCTTGAAACACAGGCTGCCATTCTAATCACACTCAGAGAAATTCCCTCCCTGACGCATTTGGTTTGGCAAGTGTCTTGGTCACAACTCAGGGACTTCATTAGGCTTTCATTAGAACCTTGACCCCGACTGTTTAAGTGATGAAATGGTGTCCTATCAACTCCTTTTCCAGGAGAAAAGCAAAACCACAAGGATGCTGAAATAAAACAGAGCATTCATATTCATTCTGAACAGGACAAAAGGCTAGTGAATGGAAGTTTGAAATCCATGGGGGGAGAGGCAGTGTTTTTCACAGCTTGGGCACAATCAATGAAATGTCACTGGGCGCAATCCTTTGGAAACCTGGTCCCAGAGGGTGTATGTCAGATGATGTGTTTACACTTTGCCTTTCTAGGAGTCTCCCTGCAGCTTAAGGAAATAGAACCTGGAGTGCCCATGTGACACACAGCACTTGAAATGTAAACTAAGGAGATGTGGGTGTCCATGACTCTTTGCGCCCCCTCCCACAGCCTTGGGGAGTGATTAGAAAAATAGGGTTACCTAATTTTCAGAAACTTTAAAAATCTTGGAACTGGAAAAACCCCATAAATCTTGACAAATCTTGACACCTGACCTCTTTTCTCAGTACAGACTCTCTAAATCATGGACAGCTGCTAAAGTAGGAGGATGGAGAGGGGGTCGTGGCACAAGAAAACCCCCAAGGACCACTCGGGAGACAGCAATAACCCATACCCCCTTTCCCAGTCACTATTCACGGTGGAGGATCAGTGAGGAAGAAATGCTGCATGAAAACTATTACTCTGAAGAGTGACAGGAGCTCTAGGACTGAACTTAAAGACAATGTGAGTTTTATGTATATTTCAAGGTAGAAAGTGGTAAGGTTTGGCCAGATTCGAAAGGAAAGTTCATCTCTAAGGGCAGCAGCTGTAAGCGGTGGACATTCAGCAAGGGAAGTATACCGTGTGCTGGGGTGTGGGAAGGGGATGGGTTCTCAGACGTGT